CATAAAGGAAAAACCAAGAGTTGTCTGAGAATGTGAGTACAAAACGAGATGTCACAAGGACGAATCAAGAAAGAGGAGAGGTAACATGCTTGTTCAAGAACTCAATGGCCACGGCAGCATGTAGCGCAGCCCCGACAGGGAGCGCATCTTCATCGACCACCAAGTGTGGCTTATGCACGTGGGTGATCTCCTCGCTGGTGCGGACACCGACACTAAAGAAGGCAGTTGGGAATTTCTGTGCATAGAACCCAAAGTCCTCCGCCGCCATCACCTGAGGACACAACCGTATGTTCGTATCTCCGAGCATCTCCTCCGCCACTGCCTTTGCGTGTGCGTAGACACCGAAATCATTCACGGTTGCGGGATACGGCCGAAGCTCCTCCTCCATGAAGTCCACCGTCGCCGTGCACCGACCCACCACCGCTTGCCCCTCGATCACCTTAATTCATTAATGCATCCATGTTAATTACAAGTAATTAAAGCATAGCATCAATTATTGTTGACAGACCAATGATGCAGTGAGTCTCATGATCATGTTGTTAATTACACCCTACAACATGCCGTTTTAGAAATGGGCACCGTCTCCAACGTGTACATTTGTCCATTTCTTTTCATGCAAGCATATATGTTTGGTGAAAAGCCATTGTAATAATATGGACATGATTCTTGTAAGAAATCTAGTGGTGATGTTTTTATGTGTCCAATCTTAACATTTTCTTATACACGGTGCAAACCAAAGTTGGTAGAGTCTGACTTTGGTTATTCCTAGAAAAACATGCACTCCTGCAGGGAAGGAGTATACCTCTTTGATCCTCCTCATGAGATAGGATAGTCCTGTTGTCATGCTCCTCAAGGTGCCACCCAAGGTCACGGATTCGGGGATGACATTGAAAGCCTCACCTCCTTTGATGAAGGTCACCGACACCACCTATACAGTTGTCCAACCACATAGGAAGTCCATGTATAATCGATGAAGCACACACACACACGATTGATACGTTGAAGAAGATGTGGAATCAATATCCACCCAAGACCAAGAGCCAAGAAATAGAAAAATCACAAACGTACCGCGCCCTGGAGGGGGTCAGTCTCGCGAGCAACGAGTTGTTGGAGGCTAAGGACGGCCGAGGAGGCGGCAACGACCGGATCAATGGTGGCATGGGGCACGGCTCCGTGACCTCCCTTCCCGGTGATGATAGCCTTGAAGCGAGCAGATCCGGCGAGGAACGGCCCAGGCCTAGAGCCGACGGTGCCCACCGGCAGGTGCGTGTCAATGTGCACGGCGAAGATGGCGTCCACGTCATCCAGGACGCCTTCTTGCAACACGTGGTACCCGCTGGCGTGGCCCTCCTCCGCCAGCTGGAAGACGAGCTTCACCGTGCCCTTGAGATGATCCTTGCGGGACTGGAGCAGCCTGGCGGCGCCGAGGAGCATGGCGACGTGGGCGTCGTGGCCGCAGGCGTGCATCTTGCCGTCCTCCTTGCTCTTGAACTCCCACTCTACCATCTCCTGCACTTGCCAACGGATGGATCAAGCACACAGTATCAGTAGCCCATTTAAAAGATCAAAGTATCAGACTACAGATGGGGCGACCGCACGGGCGATCGCATGACGCCGGTCGCCTTGACGGCGGGCACCCCCGGTGATCGCCGGAAGGTCGGCGGGCGATTCTGGGCGCTTGTGGAAGAGGACAGCGGGGATGAGGAAGAAGACGACAGACGCTCCGGCGGCTCGACGGAATACTCACCAACTCCCTCAGATGTCATTTGTGAAGCTTTCGATCCCGGCTACGACGAGGATGAAGTGGCGGAGATTGTGGAGGCAGTGGTTCCTCCTGAGGATCCGGCGAGGTCTGGGTTGCGGCCTGGAGAGACCTTGGAGTTACTCCGGCGTGTCGTACATCGGAGGACGGCTGCGTCGGCGCCTCGGCCGTGGAAGGGACCTATCCCCAAGGTAAGTATCCCGAAACTTACTCTCCTCGATTTGATTCCTTCGGATGCGTGGACGGTGGTTGTGAATAGGAAGAAAGGCAGCCGTGCGGCGGCCAGCCGGCGGCAGGCGGCGCCGATCCCGATCGCGGTGGCTAGGGCGGCTCGTTTGAATTCCCTGATTGGCGCTGTTGGGCCTTCAGTGGCCACTGGGCCGCCTTCGGCTGGGTATGAGGCCCAGAGCGAAGGGGTCGCAGGTGGGTTGGTGGTTCCTGGGCTGGTCGCTGACAAGCCATCGGAGGAGGACTCTGTTTATGTGCGAGAGGCATTGCAACGAGTCCGCTGATCCCGTCGAGCGCCGTAGGGTTTTCTGTCGTCGCTCTCCTCATCGGCTCGCCGATCGTGGGGGACGTGCCCGTCGAATCCTTCCGCTTCTCATGGCGGGTTAGGGGGCCGCGGGAAAGGATGCGGCGGAGCCGGCTGGGTCGGCTAGGGCCGGAGTTATCCCGCCTGCCTCTGGTGGTGGTCGCGGCGTGATGGTGCCACAGGCTGCTCTGGGTGTTGGTCGCGGCGCCGGCGCTCCGGGGACTGGCCGCGCCCTGCCGGCGGCGGCTCGGGGTGTGGCACCGGCTACGCTTGGCCGCGGAGCGGGAGTTCCTGCTGCCCGCCCTCCGGCTCCCGTGCTAGTTTCGACCGCGGGTAGGGGTGGATCCATCCGCCCGCCCGCACCGGGGTCTCTGCCTGCCGCGGGTCGGGCCAGTGGTACTGGTGCCCAGCTGCCATTGCCGCGTACGGCGGGGCTGTCTGGGACGATGCCGGCTGCCGGTCGAGGCGGACTGCGGCCTTCCGCGCCGGCCGTTGCTACTGCGGGGAGCAGTGCACCTCCTCTGAGACCTACGGTGCCAGCTGCCGTGGGGCGGGGTGTTTTGCCGTCAGTGCCTCGTGCTGCGCCACCGCCTCACTATGTCGCGAGGCCGACGCATCAACGTTCGGAACCGCCGCAGGTACTACCGGATACAAGGAATGGTGGAGCTAATGGGCCGCCCAAAGGAAAGTGGGGAGATGATGGTTACGAAGTTTACGGAAAAGGCCAACACCGTGGTTCGTCGTCTACGGGAGGTGGACGCGGATACGCCTGGCAAAGCGATGGTTCCGAGGAGAGACCATTCCTTGGCCCGGCGGGTGGTTTCGTCGAGGGGGCTTCGGGCCCGAACAACCGGCATAGAGGTGGTTACCGTGGCCATCGTGGTGGCCGTGGGGGTGGACGTGGTGGTGGTCGTGGTCGGTTCCACAGACAGCCCCCACCACCGCCCGTGGTTGATCATCAAGCTACGGATATGGTCGTTGATCCAGTACAGTCAGCTGAGTTGCCTAGCCAGGCTATGGAGGTTGTGTCGGCTTTGGCCAATGTGGAGGTTCCTGTT